TGGACTGAAGCAGCCCCATGATGCTCTCCGTTATGCTGTGGGGATTGTGGGTGTTGCTGAGGCTATGGGGTGTTGGTGAGGTTATGTGTTGTAGAACTTTTGGGCATGCTGCTGGGCTCAGAGCCAAGGGTGAGAAGGGAGGAGGTGGAGGGTGACAGGTTCTCTGGGCTTTCTGCAGCCACTTACAGGCTTCTGGGCATCTTTCCGCAGCCTCTGCTTGATTTGGAGGGTCCTGGGGTGTTATAGTACTTCTGATGTGTTAGTGAAGTCTGGGAGTTCTTGGGGGCTATCCTGAGGATCTAGGGGTTCTTATGGCATTACTGAAATTCTGGGAATGTCACTGAGATTCTTGAGGTGATTGGAAGATCTGGGAGTCCTTGGGGATGTTTCTGGGGTGTTAGCCTTCCCCATTCCTTCTGGCCTGCTGTCAGCTGCCTCTAAGCTTAGCCCTTTGCCCCTTGAGGATTTTGATAACCACAGGCTGCCAGAGGCACGCACGTGGGCCTCTGTTTCTGGATGCAAAAATTCCTCAGGTTTAATCAACTTGAACAAAAACATGGGGAGGAAGAAAGCTCTGTCCCAAGACTTCATAGACCAGCTCCAGCCCGAAGGACAGGGCAGCTCTGTGCCAGGCCCAGATGGCAAAAGGCCTTCATTGGCTCAGTCTTCCATATGCTTTTTAGCTCACCTTCCTACAGTGAGCAGGGCTTAGCCAACCCCAATCTGTGCCTAGCTGGGAGTCCTGCTGGCCTGGGTTGCTCCTTGAATGTTGGCATCAACCTCATCTGAATGTGCCCACAGCAAGGAGGCCCTGCCCTGACCTCACCCTGCTCTCTCCTGGCCTCTCACACTCCTCTTCTTGGCTCTGCTAAGACACTTAAACTTCATTCTTGCTACCATGCCCAATCTTCCCTGGACCCCTCCTCCAGGAAGCCTGCAAGACTGCTCAAGCCATCTCCTCCCCCCTCCCCCCCATACTCCTGTCAGTTTCTGCAGTTCTGTCTCCCAGATACCACTGCTCTCTAGCCCCTCCTATCCTGATGGCAGGGCCTGGACTCTTCTGGGCACAAGTGTCCCTGTCAAGCTAACTCTATACAGTAGGCCGTGGGCTCTGTCACCCAGGCCTCTAGAGAAATTCTTCAGGGGTTCATCATTACCGTCTTTTTCCTCCCAGTACTTCTCCCTGCCAGCTGGCAGTCTGGCCAGGTGACATCCTTCCTAATATCTCAGGCCAAACCTTCTCATCACGCTGATGGGAACCCCAAGCTGAGGAGGTAACCTGGACTTCAAGAAGTGGGGTCTGCCTCCTAGGTTGAGCCATGTGGCTACCCAGTACCCTGCATCTTTAACCCATCCTGTCCCCCTGCCCCCACCAGGGTGGGTGGGGGATCTGCGAGCCAGGAGGGTGGGTGGAAGGCAATGGGATCACCTGGGATGTCACGGCCACTCTCTGTGGCTTTGACCTTCTTGTTACAGCCAGTGACTAGTGTGCTAGCTTCACATTCTTGGACCATGAAGTCACTATGCACAAGGAGTGGGGGCCTTGGGGAGAGAGCCCACATCTGAAGAATCTCCAGGCTGTATGGAGGCGGGGTGAGACCCAGAGAGGGGATTCAAGGGCACATCCAGACCCAGGGCTCAGCCCAGCTAGGCTGCCTCCCCAACTAGGAGTTTTCCACTGCTGGGTGGAAACCCTGCCCTCACCTTTTGGACCTGCTCCCTCCCGTCCCCAGCATTGCCCTTGCCAAGGCTGCCTTCTGCCTACTGGGTCACACCACGGAAGAGGGACAAAGCTCTCCTTACTGCTGCTGAGGGCCTCCTTGAAGGTGGCTTCTGCATCTCTCCAGAGAGATGGGAGGTGGTATTGTCATCACTGGGTGATCCATAGGGGACAGAGGAATCCACCGGAAGTTTCTGGGGGCAGAACAGGATTTGGTCGAGGGAGGAGGTGCTGTGGGGAAGGCTCTGAGCCTGGGCTTGGGTGGGGGTCCCCTTCTGCCAGCCTGAGTTGATGGAGACTCCTTTGGACAGCCTGCACACCCTGCCCCAGTGCCCAGTTGAGAACCTCCCTCTCTTTTTTTTT